CTTTCACGCTCAGGTTTGTTACAGCACTTCAGAGCTCAGTTTAACGAAGGATTATTTATTACCCTGCAAAACCATCACTCACCACAACACACATGCAGTGTTAATAGCTATCTAGCACTCATTCCAATCTCTTGGGCAGGATAAGGTGCACACATTCCTTATGTTGAAGCTGAAACCTAGATTTTAATAGGCACTAATAGCCATACACCATTTATGCATACAGATCACAACACTATGTGTCATTCGTCACCATCACTTGCTTGGTGCTAAGACAACAATACTCAGAGCTGATGAGAAACCAGTGAGTTTGGGGTGTCAGAATAAACCCCTACCTTGGGTTTTAATGGCTACAAGAACTATTCCTGTGGCAACAGGAGACTGTGCAGATAACTGGTCAAAGGAGACATCCCAAGAACAGAGTAATAGCTAGTTCCTAATTTGGAGCCACCTGGGATTTCTTAACCAGTGTAAATAACTGTCTCATGGTTTAATTAAAGCATTCAAGGGTGTCACTTCTCAAGATTGCCCAAACAGGCTAAATATAGCGCACTTACATTTAATGGAACAGTAAAAACCTAGGAACGCAAAAGGCCTGAGACAGAGGATTCAAAGCACGGTGCCTTCAGGAAGAAGGAACAACCCAACTTGCACAGCGGTCTTGGTTTCATCAGTGAGCAGCCAGACCTGCCAGTTCCAGTGGAGCCCGAGCGAGGGACTGCGCAGAGGCCGAGAACTAAGCGGGACCTGCGGCTTCCCCTCGCTCTCCTGGTACGGCAAGGAGGCAACACGCTGCTGGACTCTTGGTCACACAACAGCTTTGCTCTCCTGTCCCTTTGACATCTCACCAGCGTGTGAGGCCAGGAGCTGGCACACGTCTCCCCATCTGACTCATCATCTGCAGCACCGGGCAACTGGCTGGTAGTCTGGTAAGCTGCACAGGGCAGTAAGCCCAGCAAAGCCACCAGCTCGTGGCCTGTTGCTTCCCCAAAGGGTTGATAATTGAGTCAGGACAAACAATATTCCCTGCTCCCTGAGTGTACATGAGACTAATTTTCCTATCGCAGCTAGACAATGCCTTCAAAAGCCCCTTCATCATGTAGGATTCAGAGTCCGCCCCTGCTTTTGAATCGTTTTACTCACAGTCATATGAGTTCTTCAGAGAACAAGCATACAGACCCTTCCAACATAAACAATTTCTGCTGCATAACTTGCACGGCAGCAGCTCTGACAGGTCCCCGTTTCCAGGTGTACTGCAGCGTGCACACATAGTGTTCCAGGTACCTCTGCAAGGCTGTAAGAAACAGCATCCCTGCAGACAGTGCACAGGAGCTGCACCTGCAACCACAGATTACCTGGATCTTGCTCCATGTGTGTTTCTTCCTGCAAAATGCTGAATGCCTCCTGTGACAACCTGAGCAAACATCAGAGACTACCATTAATGGCCAGAAGAGGCCATTAAACAGGTCCTGTCATACAAGCAAAAGCAACATGCTACTTGAGTTGAATCCCTGTCCTGAAACATCTTTACATCAGAGCAACTGTAAGCATCAACATGGAGAAATACGTAGCCCAGCTGCACTCCCACCCCAAATCACTAATATCTGCTTTTTCATGGACCCTTCCTCATGCACCCCACCCTCCCAGGACAGCTAGGGACACAGTTGTCGGTTTCCTGTTTATTTACTCATGACATCATGAGAGGCAGTCAAAAGCTGTTCTTATCTTGGCTTTACTGAAGGAGAACAAAGGCAGAGAGATTCAGCAACTCGCAGAAGGTCAAGGAGGAAGCGTGCGACAGAAATTTGCCCTTCTAGGTCCAGAACAAGATTTCTCACCATGGGCCGGTTCTTCTCCTGTTGATTTCACATGGTGGGAATGAAGCCACTGCCGAGTGCTTTGGAAATCCCATCAGGAATGCTTCCTTCATGTGGATGTTTTAATAGTGTTTACATCTCTCTGGTGAAGATGTTCTAGCTGCAACCAAAATAATCCACCAGCACTCTTTGAAAGAGAAATGAAATGCTTAATTAATTCAAAAACTGTTGAGATTGCAAATCAGGAACAGAACATACAGGTCTAGAGGGAGGATTACTAATAATTCATGAGCAAAATGCTATGTTTATGCAACACTAAGGATGAGATTTTAATTGCTTATTACTCTAATTGATTTCATTCAGTTGTTATGGCAACTTACTCCCTTCAGCAAACTCCTTGCACTCAGACTCCTGGAAGCCTCCACAGATGGAGGCTGGGACACAGCTCCACCACCTACTCCAAGATAAACAGTGATTATCCGCACATACAATGCAAGGCAGACTTGCAACACACTCAGGGCTGTCTAGCACCTTCCAGCCCAATGTTTTATTATTATTCGCTGAGAAATTCCGTAGTTTCTCTTAGCTATCCTGATCATTTACACACTTATTTCTACTAGCAACTCTTCTGTTTCCACTGCTCTGCTCCCTCCCTATCAACAGTTTTGACTGTTTTGGGTAACCCTCCAAATCAACAGTTTTGACTGTTTTGTGGTAAATTAGCTAGTAGTTACAGCAGTTTTGCCAGATCCTTATGCTAGGCATCAGCTTTTCTCCGGGTCTTTTCCAGAATATCTTTTGGACAACAGGGATTCAGGGCAAAAACTTGAAACCTGTCAGAGACTTTAAGTCTGGCTGCCGTGTGCGAGGCATTTGGGTGAGCTAAACAAAACCAGCCAGCGCGGGCTCTGCGCAGCTGTACTTATGCACTCTTTTTTATTCCATCCAGTAATATCTGAGGCAGCAGCACCTTTACTGCCTGCTGCAGCCGCTCTCTCCCTACAGAGAAGGCCTGCTCTAGAGACTAACCTACAGAAGCACAGCATGTACTCACCTCCCTACACAAACAGGGAGAGGTTGCACATTGAGGCCTGAACACAGCGAGTCACCTATACGGGAAGTTGTTTTTGCTCCACCTGAGTTCTTGCATAGTCACTGCGTGATGAACTCACGTTCCTGGTTTGGAGGCTGGTGATTGCTCTTCAAGGATGGCCTGACTGCTCACCAGAATAGAGGCGCGTCCCCTACGGATGCCCTGTGGCCCACTCCACCCCCAGGACAGTCTGGAGGGCGAGCAGGATGACACCATCTGCAGTTCTGCTCAGAGCCTGGAGCTCAGGCACAAACACCCGGTTTAAGACAGGTCATACTCCAGAACTACCCACTCCACACACTGTATTGGCACAGTAGCTCCTTATTTGCTAAAAGCACAAGACAGGGTATCGTTGCAGAGCTCACACCAACTGTACAGCTAAGAACAGTCCTAGGGAATATTTTTTTTCCTACAGATATATTCCTCCACAACCCTCCGCCTCAACCCAAACCAGACTTACTGACAGATGTGAGAACGAGCATACATCTCCACTCCTGAGACCACAAACATGAAAAGCTTCTTCACCTCCTACTGCAAGCAAGCCCAGATCAGCGTTTGAAAAGCATGCAGAGTTCTGCTACTAACAGTCCACCACCACAAGCCCTGTTCTCTGAGCATGGCTGAACAACCATCTCCTTTGAGGGGCACACCCATCTCACCTGCCAAAAATCAAAGTGCAGCCCGGACCACCAAACCACGGAACTCATCTGATACTGTTCCTGCAAGCAAATTTGCTTCCATGGTGGGACCAACTTGAAAGCAGCCAAATTCTTCACCTCGAGCTTTGTTCAACAGACTAATCTCATCAGCTGTTAACTTAAGGACATCTCTTGAGGCTTTCTGCCTTAAAGCAAGTCATCTACACAGCAGGTGTAGTATCTGCTGACTCGCGAGCAAGGCGGATGCTGCACTCAAGCGACCTGAGGGGGCACCTTTGAAGCAGGAGCTCAACACCTTGGCAGCAACAGCTTTCAGGTTCTAAGTGGTCACAACAGAGAGCAGACAGCATCATCAGCATCACAACAAGCACTTTGAACACAGACAGAGCTGTTACATAATTGACTTTTACTCGCATCTATGACCTGGAAGACAGTGGTGCAATTTTGTTCAAGAATCGGTCATCAAGCCTTCTTTGTGCAAGTGAGAACCCTGGTAAACTCTGCATGCACTTAGAAAAGCACCTTGAAGCTAAGAAGAGTTACAAGTTATTGAACTCACAAGGTTCCTTTCCTCATCACCCACGCTCACTGCCCATGACAGCCCTCGCTGTGACTGTTCATTCCCAGCCCCAATGCACAGACCCACACAAGTCCATCCCAACCCCAAACGCCTCTCCCGTAATTTAACCACCCCTGGGAGCTCCACTTGGCCAGATGTGCAAACACACCAACCCAAATGCTCATTCACAGCTCAGGAGCAGAGCTCAGCCACAGCTGTGTGCAGCTGATAAGCACAGAACAGCTCACACCCTCCAGAACCAAAACAAGCCAAACTGCCAAGATTCACCTTCAGCAGAAGTTGTCTTTCTTTGCAGTCCATTGACCAAAACTTGGCAGCAAACCTGTAAAACAGCCAGTGTATCATGCAGACCACAGCCAAGAGAAGCAGCCAGAGCTTTAAGGAATCAGCTTGAACTCACACCAGTTAACAATACAGCAACTGCTTTATTGTCATTATCAACCGAAACAAACTCAGGAGGTTCATTACCCCTAACAAGAGTACTCTGTTTCAGAAGCGGGTTTCCAGGTGCAGACATTTGTGGTAAGAAGTCCTCAAGTGTACAATATTATCATACAGAGTACACAATAAATTAATATCTACATGCAACATAACTACAAAAAGTTACATACAATGTAAAAAAATACAGTATTTTCTGCTCATTTTTTGTTTTAAATTTTTTTCTGTACATTTTTTAATTTACATTTTTATATACATTTTTGTAAACTTTTTTTTAGTTTTATAAAACTGAAAGCATGTAACAGTTACAAACTTATGGCACTGCTCGTTCCCTTCTAAACAAGGCTCACATCTACAAAAAAACACCATTAGCTTGTCGTCCCCTTCATTTCTATTTTGGTGCCACCACACTTCACACCTTTATTCTCAGTGAATTTCTTCACTTGCTACCTAGCCATATTTTCAATATGGAGAAACGCAATCATACTCAAGTTTATGTGCTTCAATAAAAACATCAGCAAAAAACATGACATCAACTACTTCATCAACATCACATTTACCTGATATTACTGCATAATATCAACTTTTCCTGTACTAACTGCTTTACATAAGCATGCAAACAAGTCTGATTATGACTCAATCAATAACATGAACATACTCAAATCAGCTACAGCGGTTAAATATTAAAAGGAATGTAGACTTACCAAAATTTATGTTAATAGGCCTATTCTAATACAATGGATTGACATGTTAACACTAACAGTTTAAACCCACTGAAGTATACAAGGCAAAGTATAAGCTTCATCTTCAGTGTAAGATAGTTTTCATTAGCTGAAAGAAAATATGAAATTAAGCCCCATCACACACTTGACAGTATCCTTGTAGGAACAGACTGATATTGAAAAACACAAAAACCTCCATTCTTACTAGGTTTATACTCTTACCAGGGATATTCATACTTGAAAACAGGGATTCCTGAAGTTTATGAAAAAAGCTTTTAAAAATGCCCTTGGAGTACAAAACAAGACCCACTAAGAGACTCCTTCCCAAAATTAGCACAGCATAAAAATAAGTGTAAAAGCAGTTTTGGTATTCAAGAAAGGCCCATTTGACAGTAAGCATCACTTCGGCACGGTACTTCAGTGTATGCTCATCATCCCCATACTATTCACTCACCCAAGTCAAGAGCAAAGAATCCTTCAGGGTGGAGGGGACCTTAGGAGGTCTCTAGTCCAATCCTCAAAGCAGGGTCAATCCTAAGCTCAGTTCAGTTTGCTCCTGGTTTTCTCACTCCCGGGACAGGGAATGCACAGCCCCTCTGGACCCGTGTTCCACAGAAGTTCTTCCCTTAATCAGGAATCTCCTGCTTCACTTTACAAGTACCATCTGTCACACTAGCACCACTCATTTCTCTTAAGAACTTGGAATTCAGCTTTAATAACCTCCTCTTAAGATACTGAACAGCTGCTACTCAACACCCTGCCATTACTCCCACCCTAAGGCCCTTTTTTTGTCAGGTTGAATAAACCCAAGTCCCTAACAGGTCCTGCGCCTCAAATCCCTTAACAGATCCCTCCTGGACATGATCGAGTTTATCAGTATCTTTTTTTTCCCCTATCCTGCAGGCCCAAAGCTGCACACAGAAGTCCAGAGGAGACATAACAGATGTCAAGCAAAAGGAAAAACCCTCCTTGCTCAAATTACTGGCTAGCCTCTTGCTAATCCAACCCAGTATCTTGTCAGCCTCAACTGCTACAGAGACAACAGTGCTGACGTCCATTTAGCAGCTGAGCATGAAGACCCCAAGTGCACAACGCATTTGACCTTGCTCCCCAAACTGCAACTGTGCAGGACTCTGCAGCACTTGTCCTTGTTGACAGCACAACTACACACAAAGCTTTTTGCTGAGCTGGGACCTGAAGGGAAGCTTCTCCTCAGAAGGTCAGAACAACACAAGGCAGGCATTCCAAGCATTTGGATAAACCATGGCCACTCTTGCCTTAATACAGACAGTATATAGAGAATTACCTCCCCATTTATTATTGCCAAAACATTATGGTGCATTCAAATTCCTAACCTAGAACTATCAAGCATTAATGCTAAGATTCAGAGTTAAGGGTTTGCCACTTCGCTTTAGGTTTGAGGTCAAAGAAGAAGGCGCCTTCCAGATCACTCGGAGGAGAACTGCTAAGGCTTTCTTCTCCGCTGCTCATATCTTCACAGGAGTCTTCACTAAAAAAAAAAAGAAAGTAGGAAAAATATTTTAAACTAAGCACAAACCCTTGAAAGTGGCCAAGTATTCCTCACTGCTGCTCTATTTTTTCCTCTCTAAACTTGATTCCTAGTACACTTCACATCTAAACACTTCTCACCACTAGGTGAGTTTCTTTTTATCGAGTGCCAAAAAAAATCCTACCAACCAAGAAGCAGGCAATGGTTAGGTCATCATATACGAGTTACCTGAATGGGCGTCCAACACATCAAAGCCCTTCCAGGGTTATTAAAAACACATCCCTCCCCCAAAACATTTATCTTGATACTTGTTAAACCACTACAAATACAGTTCCCAGAATTTTCTTCTGCTTAGGATCTATTTTTTTGGAAAGGTTTCTAGCTTGACAAACTTCAGTAGACTCAACCTAGTTTTGAATCAACCTCGTTTTTGAAGAGTATTTCCAGAAAAAGTGAATTTCCCCACAATCAGCTGGCTGATTAGTTTTACCAACCTCTCGCTTTCATTGAAGCATCCACCCTCTGGTATCGTTGGCAACTCGGGAACACTGTAGTAACTGTTTTGCAGATTCTGGGCTGTACGTCTTGAGACAATCCAAACCAGCTTTTTATGGTCTGGCTTGCAACATTCAGGAGACGAATAATCTGCTAGGCATTTCGAGACCAGTTCCCTCCAGTAAAGTAGGTCACTATCGCTTATCTTCAAATGAAAAAACACACAAGGTATTTATTACATTACACACAGGTTACAATTTTCCTTTCAAGGACATGACTTACAACTAGAAGTACTTTTGACCTCAAGAAGCATCCCTACTGAAAAAAGGGTTTGCTGAGTTGGACTCGGCAGCAGTAACAAGTCTGTGGTTTTCAACCGCCACACCTGACAGAACATGCAGCTAGCAGCTTTAAATTCTCTACTAGTTACTAGGGAAAAAAAGAACAAGCCTAGCAGACATTTTAGTCACTGAAATTAAGGAGACTGCAAATTTCTCTGGAACACGCAGTTAGAACTGAGCAAGTTAAATCACCAGCTTGTTGAAGCATGTATTATGTAGTCATTAAGAAACACTTCTCCAATTTTGTACATTCAAGACCCTTTCTTAAATCCTTCTGCATCTCCGACAGTTGCCAAGACGTGCAACTGAGAAATGACTACCTGACCTCATTCTCAATTAAATACCAGTTATTCCATTTGGCATTTTACCAGTGAAAATGTGTTCACTAAAGAAGCTCCAGACATGCTTAGAGACTAGTTTCATCGCTTATTTTAATTGCTGCCAAATAGCATCTCCAGAAGCTTTACTCTGATAGCAGGGATAATGTAACACTGTGCATCATTAGCCGTATCAGTCCTAGCAATTACACAATAGCAATTACACAATATTTACCTTTGAATGCTTTTGAACACGCAGAAGGATCTCAAACATCTCAACAGATTTCAAAGTCTGAACTTCGAGAGTGAGAAGGCACAAGGCCAAGACAGATGGCTAGAAGGACAAAAAACCCCACTGCTTAACACGTACAAATTCAAGCCTACTCAGATGTCACCCAAGAAGGTGATTTTCACTTACTTTTGCTTTAGAGAAGACAAGGCGACAATTGCAAGCTTTTAACTGTGCTTCCAATTTGTCGAGATTCAATACTTCTTTCCTATGAGATGCCAAAGGGAAAGAAATAGTATTAATATCAAGAAGCATTCACATGCCAGAAAAGCAAAACTAAGGAGTTGGCTCTGTTTCAAACAATACCAGAAATTCTTTTTACGATTCAAACTCACCTATCTGAGGTATGACACAGTACAATAGCATGGTACAAGTGCAAGAAGGTTAAGGCAGTAGTAGCTTTAAATTCAAAGTGCAACTTCTCTGAAATTATGTTTTCCATCCGTTTCAGGTCGGACACAGTGCATTTACATTGGCTGATCCGGATGATCTCGTGAGCAGAAGGAATAATGCATTCTTCTTCAACTACTCGGGCAGCCAGTTGGAAACAACAGACTCCAATGCAAGATAAATGCTTTGGTTTCACCTAAATGCAAGAGTAACTACAGTGAACATATATATGAATAATGATAAAAGATCTGTAAAATAAACAATTAGGTTTAACATCTCTAAGAAATCTGACTTAAAACGATCTAGTGTTCATATAACCATCTTTCAGGGGCACTAGCCCTTCTTTTTCTTACGGGCTGTGCTCATCAAATAGCAGATCAGACTTCAATAAAGCCTCAAGTTCAACAGCTGAGCATTCACTTTCGAAATCATTCCACATCCATAAGGAGCAAAAAATTACACACCGAGAACTGCAATACCACACTTCTCCGAGTGGCAGTGCTCATTTACCCTCAATTAAAGCCTACGCAGATCTGGCTTAAGCTTGTTCTAGCCAGTTCAATCCCTTCCCAACTAGTTCCCACCCCTCTGTTGTTCTCTCATGTAGAAATGTAATGCTTTCATGACATCTTAAAAAAGACAGATCTAGTAAGTGATTCCAATTAAGACATTATTTTTTTTCTGACATCTTAATAATGGAGATCTGATCTGAAATGAAATAACCTGCCATAAGACAGCACAAATAAAACCAAAAACAAGCATCTAGGACATCATCTTTTAGCATCAGCACCACCTCTCTAAATTAGGCTGTAGCATATCGCTTGGTGTCAAAGTTTATTCAATTGCCACTTTGGTAATTCCTCCTGTCTTCTCCACGTAGCCAGTGAAGGCTACACAAACTCTTGGGCAAACAAGACGTGTCTCAACTTGTCTTTAAGGGTCAGGAGCAGTCACTGCATTAAGTACTTAACAGACCCCCCTCGGCAAAACGTTTCACTAAATAACTGTACATAGCTCCAAGCTTACACAGGAGCTATTAGGAAGTATTACTGGCTTAAAAATATAAAAAATAGATCAGTCCACAGCCACGGTATCTCACAGATCACCACCTTCCGCTTCCCCTTTTTGTGTCTGACAAGGAAGCTCACAGGAAGCTGGTTTTCTCAGTGACAATACAGCAGGTACTCTCTGCTCGGGTTACCTTCATTAGAGCCAGGAATCTGTCCAGAATATTAACAGCCAAAACAAATGTTTCAGTTGCAAAACCGAAGAAGTTGGTCAGACTCCAAAGATCTTCCACCTTGACATTCCTTAGTCTCGGGCACAAAGTATTTTCATTCTACAGCAAAACAAAAAGGCAAGTCAGTATTTACCAGTGGTGGCTGTCACCACCCACTCTCATTTAAGTTATCTATTACCTAGACTAAAGGATAAAAAAATCTTACATACGCTCTACTGTATTTTAATTTAACTCTATTTAACTTAAGGAAATACAAGCTCTGTACTTGGGACTCCAAACACACCCAAAGCATGAGCGTTAAGGCTATGTCCTCTGTCTCTAAGGCACAATTGCCACCCCAGCCACATTTCTAAGTGCGCACTCGTCATTTTAAGTCAATCCTTAGCACAAAGCATGTGTGCAGGCAACAACTCCTGGCCTCGGCGGGGGGGGAAGCAAGCCCAGGTTATTTTCCTCTCTGCCTGCATATGACATTAAGATAACTGCTCTGCTTTAGTAACAAGGAAACTGAAAAAATTGGAGAGTCTCTTTCTGTTCAAGACCAAGATCCTATCCAAAAAAAGCCTCAAAAGCATTTTAAGCCTGTAAGGAATTTTGGTCGTTAACATTAGTTTTATCCCCGTTGGTTGGTAAGCACTGAAGGCCTCTTGGCTCATTCCCCGGGGCTTTGCTAATCGTAAGATGTCCGTTTCCCCTTTGTTAACTGCCTATTTCATATGTCAGCTTTCCTGCACCGATATCGTGCTGAAATAAGCTCTTTAAGTGCAAAATATGCTCACTTTTCGCTCTAGATAGGAAACATGGCTTGAAAAATGAGCAGTAATTTATTTTGACCACCGTTCATAGGTCTTTGACGATACAGTGTATTTAAACATGAGGAGCTTGGTGTCAGAGCAAGAACAAAGGCCCAGAGGCATTTGCTGAGAAGCCAGCGATCTTTGGAAAGCCAAACGAGCCTCCCGGTCCCGTTTCCCCCAAAGCAGGGTTCTCCTCCCCCAGTTTCCTGCATCTCCCCACTCCCCCGCCAGCGCCCAGGTAAGGACCTCACCTCGGCCGCGCACTCGATGAGGCTGAGCCCCTTCTCGCGGGGCTGAAACCGCCCCTCCTGTTCCAGGTGGAGGTTCAGTTGCTTGAAGAGCCAGAGCGCTTCGCTGTTCATCTTCTCCCCAGCCTCCAGGTCCTTCATCTTGAGCGCAGACGCGGCCCGTCAGCGGACAAAGGGGCACCCCGCTCCCAACCGCCTGCCGGGCCCCGGGGGACCCCCAGGGCAGCGGGGACGGCGACAGAGCCGCCCGCCGGGGCGCCTCCCGGGCCGCTGCGGAGGGGGACACCCCCTCGGCGGGCGAGGAGGGGGGAACGGAGCCCGCTTCCCGTCACCGCACGGACGCGGGGCGGCTCCGCGGCGGGCCCCGCATCCAGCCGAGGCCGCCCGTGTCCCCGCCGGCGGCCGGCCCCGCGCCACTCAAGCCTGCGGCCGCGACACCATCCCCGGCGCCTCCGGCCGCCGCCGCCCCGGCCCCGCAGCAAAATGGAGGCGGCGCCGCCCCCTTGTTTTTGTTCTCGCGGCCCGCAGATGGCCCCGCGCGGAGGGAGCGCGGCAAGGCCCGGCCCGTGATCCGCCCGGGAGGCGGGGCAAGAAAAATAATCCGCTCAAGCACAGCTCGGCGCTGCTCACCCTCGGAAGGCGCCGCAGCCGCGGATGTGCGGGCGCGCCGCGGCCATGCCGGGCGGACAACGCTGCTGCTGCTCCTGCTGCCTTGGGAGCGGCGGTGCCGGTACCGGGCGGCGGCGGAAGGACACGAAGCGCGGAGCCGCAACACGCGTTTAAAGGGCCCCTGAGGGCGGCTCGTCCCTTTTGAAAAGTCCGCCCGAAACTTCCCCCGCTCTGATTGGCCCGCGCTCTCCGGGCCACCGATTGGTCCGCGCTCCACCTCGCCACTACCCCTTCCTCACCCGTCGCGTTGTGTTGTTTACCGGCGCTGATTGGCCGCCGACGGCGCACGGCTCTCTCCGGATTGGCCGGCCGAGATCTGCCTCTGCCTCGCCTACGGTCCCGGGCCTTAGCAACCGCCGTGGAGTTGCGCGCGCGCAGTGGGGGCCGGGGGGGACGGGAGGGGGAACCAACGCTCATACCCAACGGTCATAGCCAACCGTCACGGCCAACTGTCACCCGGCCGGGGCTGCCTCAGACGGGGCGCTGAGGTAGCCCAGCCTCGGGGTAGCCCTGAAGACCCGGCTGTGCCTCTCCTGACAGCCCAACTCCTGCCTTGCGGCTTGCCTGCCTCAAAAAGCCTATGTACCCTTAAATCAAGACACGGTTGTACATACCATCTGGTGTTGGAGAGTCTCGGGGTGTGCGTTTCCGAGCTTGTCTTCATAATCTCACTCAGTTTATGTGTAGTGGCAAGCCGGTCCCTTAAGAACATGGCTGATAACCGTGAGCAGCTGGCGTTATCTACCCCTTAGCAGAGTGACAGATGCAGGGGAGGTCACGTCAAATCTCAGCCTGCCGCTTGACAGAGTCCTACTGACAAGATAAACCAGCATCTCACAAAACATACCCTGGTGTGGATTTGTGAGATTTTACGCAAATGTTAAAACCCGTTCCATGTTACCAGATAACATTTCTCATGGACAATCCCAAATGGACAATAAAGGCGTAAAAAGGGAATACCAAAATGGCAGTGTACAGATGTGTACGTGGTGCAGACAAAAACGTATGGTGGCCATCGGCAATTGCAGCGGGGAGAGCAGATTAGCATTCACTGTGAGCTCGTGAGGTCCCACCGTTTCAACAGCTAGAAAACGTTTATTAAGTGTGGCAGTCTGGGGGAAAAAAAGCCTCCTTCTGTACAAAACAGTCAACAATGTTGCTATGCCAATCTCTATTTCTGGGCACTCTTGCTGTCTTTTTTTTCCCCAGTGATGATGGCCAACAATTTCTTCATGTTTGTTTTGATTACGAGCTTTTTTAGTTTCCCACAAATATGCACAGCTTCTCTTTGGACTATTCCTAACATGGGATAACACTGTCATAGGTGCCATCAAGTATATCTGAACACCCTTAAATAGAGCATCTCCGCAATGAGAATGAGCTGGCATGGCTACTCATCTTTGGTTTTTTTCTCGTATTTTTTATCTGAGGACAGTATTTTGAGGGATAAATGTACTTATAGCCTCTAAAATAAGGACTTATGATTCTGCTCCAGTTTTAAAAGCAATACTTACTATTAATGGTGTTGACTTCAAACTGATGTCTGGCATCTGCAAGTGTCACCTATGTGATGTTTGCAGGATAAGCACCGCAGAGATGCAGTATAGACATAATGATGTTCTCCTTCAGGCTGTTAAAGAAAAGCAGGGAGCAGAATACATGTTTCAGCTTACCTAAATGCAAATGAAAGCCAGAAAGGATTAGCTTTCTTAAACACATACCATTTGGATTCTTAAAACACTCATTCAACTGTCCACTTGAACACATATCATACACTCTCTTCTACTGACCAGTTTAAATATAGCAGAACACTTTGCAAATGTACCACTCATATATCGTGTAATTTGGTGGAGAAAAGGGTTGTTACACGAGCACGGATCAGTGTGTGATCATATGGACCTGGCAAAACAAGCCCGTGCTGTGGGCAAGATGTGACACTTTTCCACGCTGCCAAGTGACATAGGCAGGCCTTATTTTAATGAGTCTTGCTAAGCAATCTGCTAATACGGCTTGGCCAAACTTGCCCTAGCAGGTCTGCATGGCAGCGGACTGGGGACGGCAATGGCTGGCTAATGGCTGCGTAGGGAGTAGCAGATGATACCAGAGATACTGACTGGGCCTTGTGGTAGGCAGCTTTCCAAACTGAAATGAGACAAAAACCCTTGGTGATTAAGGGGGACACAGTAATTAACAGGAACATCTAATCTTGTTGCTCACAGCCCGGCTAGTCTGCAAGAGAAAGAACAATAGGGCTGTCTGAGAACAACTGTTTCCTTGGTACCACTTAACCAAAGAGTGCTGCACACTTTACAGTCGCTCATTAAACTAAGTGCCCCATTGCTGCTCCATTGTTCTGGTAAGGAGGGGAGAGGCACCATGAAACCAGAAACGAAAAATGAAACAAAAGTGACAGGCTTGTGACTTCCCTTTCTCAGTGAGACAAAACTGCTGCCGTGCGCGAGCATGCCGTACTTCCCACAATCCCGAGGAAAAAAAAAACTTGTGTAGTTTGGCCAAGGTCCTGTAACTCTGTACTTCTGTGATGCTGCAGGAGACAACAGCTATTACCTGAATTAGCATTGGCTTATTTGAAAATGTGGGTAAAGGATCAAACATCAAGAGAGTCTACATCAAATGAGATTAGTCCTGGAATCCTTTCCCTTCTTGAGAGCCACCTACTCTTCCTTTCATAACTCCTTAGCAGACATCATACAAAAAGATTTGTTTTTATTTTAATTGAATGGGGTGATTTGAGGGTTGGGTTGTTTATGTTTGACCGAGGACAGTAGAACTAGTCCTGGTGTGTGTGTTTATATATTAATATGTATGTTTGTATTATGTATATATGTATCTATAAACATAAACTTATATACTTATCTATATAAAAGCAATACTTCGTAGAGCCTGTTGCTTTTAAAAGCAGAGGGACCAGTCCCTGGTGCGAAAAACCTGTCAAAACAGAAGCCTTTGCCCAGGTCCTTTGTGAGAAAGGATAAAGCCTAGGAGATAAAATGATTCATATATCTGCTAGAATTTAAAGCTTGTTTCCCTGACAGAACCCCTTCCAGGTGAATGACATGTGATCCTCTAGTAGCCTACAAGTGAATGTCCCCTCTGGTTTAGCTCCCATCTTTCATATTTGTGTGTGTGATTTCACACTTGTCACCTTGCCCTAATGGCAGTTGATCAACTTTGGAATTCATAAATAATTCGAATTACACAGATTTATTACATTCTTCCTGTATGACGGAAGGAAAACAAGGCTTGCCTATCAAGGATTAATGTAAACATAAAGTCAGGGCTGATGAAATGGTTCCCTGGAAACTTGAATAAATCTAGGGCTGAGCAATGACCGTGGGTATGTGTCTTAGTGACCCCACCCCAAGTGCAAAATAGCTGTCGAAATTCGCAAGGGAGGGTGCAGGAAAAAGCAACCAAGCTCGTTCTTTCAGGAGATGGGAACTAAGCCTAGCAGTGAATATTCTCAGCAGACAAGATCCAAACAGCAATCAATGGAGACATAAATAAATTTAGCATGGACTGTAAGATTTTAGAGTAGAGACTGCTTTTGGTCTGTTTTTGTTTTGTTTTGTATTGTTGCTGGTACAACATATGGGAAAACAGAACTGAAATACATCTAACAATGGTAGTGGCTAGATGGGAGGAATTCCCATGACAAAAGGAAGCTTGTCACAACGGGGAAAAGCAAGTCAGTCTACACAAGAAAATTTGTGTATATGTTGTAATACACATACACTAAGCAGCTCTACTATTCAGGTATACTGCTTTTTATTGCAAGGGGTGTTTAATAAAAGTTTTGATTTTTTTGTAGAGCATCCTGAGACACCTTTCAGGCTCAACAAACTGCCCATGCAGACTTTAGTTTAATGATGCTACAATAAACTTTAGTTTATCGTTCACTGACCTTATGCTACAAGGACTGCCAGTGGAACTCTCTCTATAAAGAGCATACCATACACGTATATAAAAGAGACTTTTTTATGTGCACATAAAGCTGTGCATGCATTTATGCTGCTGTGAAGTTGCAGCATAGTGATACCATATCCTGCGCTTGCTGGGCTGAGCACGTGTGCACGAGCGCGGCCGCATCAGGGGCAGGAGGACGTGCATGAGTGGCGCTTCAGTCACAGAATCTCCTGCTGCACACAGGGCCTGGGTAAAAGGCAGAACTACAGCTAAACACCAAGGAAGCTACATCAGGCTTCTGGGAAAAGACAGCTAAAAATCAAGTTGCTTGTAGCAAATGCTGAGTCCTAAAACCTTGATCTGTTGACGCTGGCAGAAATCAGTGTCCTCACTGAGAATTTCTACTATAGCAAAAGGCAAAAGGATTTTTTTTTTTTTTCAGGAACAACATCATTGATTGGCCTCTTTTATTTCAGTTCTCAGAAGAAGCCTGTGTATGGTGTGGCAGAAACCACAGAAATCTGTAATACTGAGAGCATTGGGAAATGGCCCAAGAGGGAGCGGAGTTATTGGGAGAGCCTGATTTTCTGCCCGTGTTCTCATGACGACATCTCTCTCTGCACAAAGCTGGTGAGATTTATAATGGTGTCCGGGGGCTAACTGCCAGCCCTGCCAGCCTTGCAAGCATGCCGTCCGGCACAACCTGCTTTGGTTGGAAATGGCTCTGGCACAAGAAGAGCCGGGGGGAATTACACCACCACACAGATGCAAACCCTGGCAGAGAAGGGGTGAGAGGGGAAGGAGCTTGGAGATTGACTTTACCTCTTGCCACTTCAAATGTTGCTGCTCGCATGGTGGTGTTGCTGCACCTTGTTCATATTCCACTGGCCGTGCTCTGAGAAAGGGACCATCACGAGAGCGTCCAAGCTTGGGGTGGCTTTCGCAGCTTGTCTAGCAAATAAAAATATTATTTGTGATTTCTGTGCTCAGTTGGTTTAGATGCCCTTTCTATTACAGTTACAGATTCCCCTTGCAGCTTCTCTGTGAGCCACTTCAGTTTCACTGCTTTCCATTACAGCTATTGCCAGAAATCTGTATTGTATTTACAAATCTATTCAGATATATATTCCTGACTTTTTTTTTTTTTTTTTTTTTTTGGTAATAATATCAAATACATCAATTTACATTGCAAAATTTGTAACAGGAACTGAAAATATAGATGTGGTTCTGAGGCCGCTGACATTGCTGTGCAGCAAGAATAATCCTATAGAAGACACCAGGGCAGATGCCTGAGCAACCTGCTTCGATGCTTTAATGGCAATAGTTTGCCTTCGTGCAAGTTAAATTGTCTGAAAGGAAGCTGTATGTTCGGTAACCTTGTGCTTGTCTAAGCGTGACCGCATAACTAGCAGTTTCCTTAAAGTTCCCTTTTAATAATGATTTGTTACTGGAAGGTGTGTTTCGCTCACTATGTATTTTTGTCACTTACTTCAAATGGTTTCTTTTATTTAATTGAAGAGATAATGCTAGGCGATGCTGTAAATGCTTTTAAAAGTTTTTCTTTTTCTTTTTTTTTAAGGTAGTTGTGCATAATTTCAGAAGACATTTACATTTCCAAAATCATATAGAATCTGCACAAAATGGAATTTAAAATAGTCATTATAAGTTAAGGCAAGAAGAAAAAACAGTCACCTTTCAGACCATGCAACCAGGCAGCTGTTGAGTGAAAAGACTTACCAGGAAGTATTCAGTTACAAGTACTAGAAAAGGATATTTAAGACTGATTTATACATTTCACACAGCATATATCCATTTTATACAACTTAACATTAAAGTCTAAGACACTGAAAGAGGCCTTGCATAAAGCATCCACAAATGCAAAGGAAGATTCTTCCATCTTGACTTCCATCACATTTTAAATCCTGCAATGCCCTCCCAAATGTCTCTCCTCAAGCAATTAACAAGTATCTGATAATTGACTGATGGTGTTCTTCTTACTCAGATAGCTAACATTGGAATCCTACAAGTGTCAAGAGTCTCCTGATCTTATTCCATTTTCTGTGCCAGAAATGGAGTATTATATTTTTTTCTTTTCTTCCTTACTACTAACACCCTTAGTCACTTCATTGGTGCTTAATGGCCTTCTTGTATTTCCCACTAATTTATATTATGTTATGAGAATTTAGTTGCTCTGTGCTGGTATGAACAGAGATGTTCAAATTTCCATGTGCAGCACCACAGATGTTTTCCAAGTAACAGCTGCAGGAACATTTCCAGCATAGCTAGAAAGTTCTATCTTAAGCTAGCATATCCAGACACGTTTCACTAACATACTCTTGATACATTCCAGAAGAAATTATTCAGACTTACTTTCTCAGATGTACGGTCAGGAGGTAGTTGTGTCTGTCTGAAAATACCTGTGTCTTAACTCAAAGGTTCAAAACTGTGTAGCTTTGTATTTAGCATCATGTATCCCATGGTTCCTTAAATAATTCCTGACTGTACAGAAAATCCACTGGCACCCAACCTAATCCTTGTCTGCTGGCACTGCAGTCCATGGCACAGCTCTCATCTCCTTTAGTGGCACAAATGCCAGGCCCTAACAGCCGCACTTCAGGAGTTAAAACAGCATACGAGGGATGCTGCATGCACCTGAGGTGCCACGTGAATTTTAGCAGATGGAAATGTATGTTACTTTTCTAATTTGCAAGCTTCTTTCTCTCTGAAGGAGCATTGGTGAATGCACCCGATCAAAATCCTCCGTTGTCCGTTCTCATCCACATTTGGAAGGCAAAATTTGGCCCTATTGCTGAGCATGAGACCACCTTTGTAGGACTGGGATACTGATGGTACTGCACTGTGCTGCAGTATCCTGCACCTCAGTGATGCTACAGTTTTTCCTTCTGTTGCAAAAAATATATTAATAAAAACACATGCATATATGTTTTTTTATATATTATGTATTATATAAATAAAAATATTCATATATTTGTATTTTATATAAATAAAATACTACTGTTAGGTAGCTGTTCCATTCTCTGTTTCATGGTGCCAGCCCAGAAGTGAAAATGTGGTACCAGACATACAGTCCTGTGTGCTACTGGCTTCCTCTCATGCTGCAACGTGCATTTCTGACTGGTCATCTATTTTCTAGAAAGAACAGTTGATTTGCAGGTGAAATCCCTAGGGTGAGAGACACTGTCTAAAAGTTTTGCAGAAACAGATCAAGTTAAATGGAATAGATTCAAACATTTTCCAAAAGGCAAAGCAAACCACAGAAATAAGTACTTTGCTAGAGAAAATTACATAATCTGGGGATGCTTTTGCAGTAAACATAAATGAGGCAAAAATGTTATTTACTGCCTGCATTTCTCCCCTCCAAAATTAATCACTGGATGTGAAAGAGATACTTCATTTGCTAAACACAAACATCCATTTCACTGTTCTGAATGAAGGCACAATTTTCAGAATCTCTGTGGCAGGAAGAGATAGCAGGGGAATCTTCTTCGGCTCAGATAGCAAGATTTGTTTCCCTAGTAAATTTTATATTCCTGCTGATAGGAAGAAGTTGTGAGAGACTGCTGGAAACAGTGTTAATGGCTAGGAAGTCCTAAGAGGCCGCTAAGATGTGGCACTCCAGTGATCCAGCTTAGGAAGATTTCTATTGTTGACCGAAGTGTTTTAATGCACTGTTCTTGGGCCTCACAATCAAAAAGGCAAGAAACTACTTCTCCCTGCATGAGGAGAGGACAATGCTTTCCTTTTTTTCCTTTGCCACATAGTTCAGGAATACTGTATTTTTTTTTCAAAGGATTATTCATTACTGCCTGTAAGAACAAGTATAGTGAATGTACTAATAAGGTAGAACATAAAAATTGGGCACGCTTAGCCTTAAAATTTCTTTGTACTGACTTCCACACTGCTAACTTGGAAAATTAATATTTAGTTGACTGATTCATTGCAGGGAAAGGATAAGATCTTCAAAAAAAAAAATTAGTGATTTTGGACAGTTCACTTTTCACAGAGGTCAAAGACTGTTCAGCATTCAAACCCATTTCATTCTTTTTTGAGAAGTCCTATGTGCTGATGAATACTAACTCTTTGTTTTTCTTTAAGGTTGTGTGTCCTTTAGGCCCACATTGTGTTCAATAGTGCCTTTGGTAGGGTGACCACAACTTGTTTTCTTTTTTTTTAAGACCTTGAGTTTGTAGTAGAGATATTAATAGAGGTAATAGTTATGTAGAAGTCAGAGTCAAAGCACAAGCACAGCAATTATTAGACGTATTCTGCCATGCCACACTGAACTCATCCAATTAAACAGCAATTATTATTAAAAGTTTGCATTTCTGTACTCCCTCAGGATATCGAAATGCTTTACAAAATGCTTTAAGTTGCTGGAAGTATTCGTGTTTGAACTCATCAAATTTGCTTGCCTGCGTTGGACTTTAGGTGAACATAATTTGAGTGGATATGAAAATCAGAATTAACCTTTGCATCTGTGGGTTTAACAGGCTGGTCAAAAGTCATGCAGTAAATAGCACTTGGGTCTTCAAAGCATAGCTCAGAGCCAAACCACAAGACCATCTGTTTTTTCCTTCTGAAGGGTGTTTAAGCAGTACTGCTAGAAATGTCTGTTGCAAGATAAATGTCCTTTCCTTTTCCATGCACTGGAATTTGGCTCGGAGTCTAGCAGTGCCCTTTCCCTACCTTCCACTCAGCAGTGGAAAAAAAAATCAGCAACTGCATCAGGAAGAAAGAGGGTGCTACAGCTGTTCCGTGCGTGTCATTTTCTCGTTTCCACTAACACGGGTCTCTCGCTGCTTTAACCTTTAGGGCCTGTCACCAACTCGTGTCCAGCCTGCATTAAGGCACTGGCCAGTTGTTATACCCGTGTGCAGTCACTCTGTCTTGGGACCCAGATGGGAATACTTCCCTTTGCTCTGACCAGAGCAATGAGGTGATGCTAGCGCCCACGCGCCCAGACTGTTTATAGTAGCTCCTTCTTCGTAGAGCTCACACAATGTAGCTATTTTATCCCCATAGTCATCATGCCTAGACCTTGGGCACCTCCTGCAGAGGCTGGAAGTGTCCTGAGAAATTTTGCTTCCAATTTCCCATCGTGCTAAAATGAGTGACTCTCTATGGGCCCTCCTGTGCCAGGTGACTCGCTCCTCAGTCTCCAAAATTCCTCTGGGAAAGGGGTATCTCTCAACTCATTGATTGTGCTACTTTAAACTCAGTTGGGTGCTGAGTCAATTCTGCCTTCCTGCTGTTGGGAGGACAAAGGGCTATAATCACATGAATCCCGTTGAGGGCATATTCAGCAAAACAGGGATGAAAGGCCCTCTGTTGCCCTATGTTCCTGCCAAAACATCAGTTCCAAAGTCTGATGGTCTGAGGATGTGTCCCGGGGCTCCCAGCACTTCCCTGATAAACATGCTGGGAAGGGCCCTGATGGAAATCCCTTAGGCAAACAGTCCTGATACACAAGGAGACTGTAAGCGCCAGAGTGCAACAACCTCGTGACACAGGGTGCCAGACATACAGCAAGGGTTTCCCAAGGAGGAGCATCAACTAAATTACCCTCACTTGATCACTGACTGATCCAAACTACTGGTGGGCCAACAGAGAAAAAAAATGATGGCTTTGCTATTTCGCATGTTCCTGAAATGACTATCTTCTCCACAGGGAGACCTACCTGAGACCTAGACTCAATCTCAGAAAGCTTGGAAAAATTCTGAGTGAGCCTGCCAAAAAAATAAAACCATCCTGGCCCTGTTTCCACCTGCTTAGCTCAAAAATGCATATTACCTTTCAAACTAAAAAGGAGGGAAAATGGAGGGGAACAGTGCACAGCAACCTTGAATTCAAAGAGCAGTTCACACTGTGCACAGGGAAATGTGGTTGTTGTACTAAAAATAGCCTTTAAGTGTGGACTGAGAGTTACCAGGGAAAGGGTCAAAAAAACTTACGTCATAAAACCCAACCAACCAACCAAAAAAAAAAAACCCGGCGTTAATTCCTCAGGAAATTAATAGAAAAAATGTTGTGCTCTTTCTCTCTCTGCTTTATTTATGTCTCTGTGCTTATTATCTGCAGAGGAAATCCTCCTTTGTGCGCTATCTCAACTGCTAATAGCTACAGATACTGGAAAGAGTTTAAAGAAAATGAGTTGCCTTTGCTCTGAACTCCTCGCTTTCATCTGCTAATTTCAACTTCTGGAGGTACAGCAAGGTTTTGCCACTCACGTCATCGTCATCGCAGTGCCAGGGTTTTCAAGTTACTTACTGCAGCTGCACAGTTCCTGTGCCAGTGTAGCAGCTCCCCTCCGCAGAAGACGATGACCTAGGATAAAAAAAAATGGAGCGCTCACAAATTTAGTTGTCCAGTTCTTAAATTCAGCAAGGAAAAGAAAAACAACAAAGGATGAGGCTCTGGAAAGCCACCCTAGGTAAGCTAGTACTGCAGGGATCTCCGTCTTTGGCTCTGTCAGTGGGGCAGCAAGGCTGAGGCTACAAACTGCCAGTGGGAAAATAAAGAAAAAAAATAAATAAAATGAAATAAAAATAGCCGCCTACAGGCCTTTGTGTTCCGGGAAGGGTTTGCGGGGCCCACGAAGGGAACAGGGGCTGCGCGGGGGTTGATACCTGTCGTCGCCGGGCAGGGGAGCGGGAGGCCGGCGGCGCCCAGGAGCTCTGGGGCACCCGGGGCAGCAGGAGGGCGGCGGGGGGCGGCCGCCGAAGCCCGGGGGGCTCAACGCTCCTGGCACAGGGCGGCTCATGGCCTTGCGAGTGCTTTCAAATGCCACTTTAACTTAAATCTCCTAGCGGCGCCGCTTTCCGTCCCGCAGCCGGGGCAGCGTCCCCCGGGGGAGCTGTCCACCAACGGGCCCAACGGCTCCAACGGCCGCCGCGGCCGCCCGGCATGGCGGCGCAGGCGCGGCGGGCAGCGACATGCGGCCGCCGCGGCTCGTTCCTTCCGCCGCCGAGGGAAGAGAGTCCGCCCCGGCGGCCGCGCCGCCGCCTCCCCTTCCTTCCCCATCCCTTCCCATCTCTTCCCTTCCCTTTGCTGTCCTCCGCTCCGCTCGCCGCGGCGGGGGCAGCGATCGCGGCGCTGCGACCCCGCGCGCGGGCGGGCGCAGGCTTGGGGGGAGGTGGGGGGAGCGCGAGGGGAGGGGGCGCGCGCGCCGCCGCGCTGAGGCGCCAACCGCCCTAACGGCCGCCGGCGGCCGTTGGTGGCGCGCGCCGTTGTCCCCCCCGCCGCTGGTGCTGAAGCGGCCCCGCCCGCGCGGGGGGCGGGCGCAGGCAGCGGGGAGGCCGCCCCGCCGCGGCGCCGCTTCCCGTCCCTGCTCCCCCCGGGAAGCGGCTGGCTGCGGGCTGCCTCTCGCTCTCCCTTCCCCTCCCTTTTTTTTTTTTTTTTAATTTTAATTTTATTTT